TTCGAGGCGCGGTGACTCGGTTGCTGCAATCTTCGGAGAGAGGTGTCTGCCTCGAAGGGCGGCACCATCGTCTTCGTCGTCGTGCAGAGCCAGGTATGAGCGAGCAAGGTATGCTTGATCGCGTTGCGATGGTGCGAAAGGCGAAGCGTCACCGTCGAAGAGACCGCCGTATGCCGGCTCGTCTTGCTGAGCGAGGCGTATGCGATCTTGGATAGCCATTGCATCCTCGAAGGATTGCTGGAGCGAAGGCAGATCGGAGGCGGCACGAGGTGGCGTCGAATGGGCGAGCGTGGCGCTGCGTCTGGTGCTGCGTTCGTCGTCCAAAGATGGCGTATCTTGAGCTGGGCTGGCCGAGGCACGTCCCGTAGTGTCGCCATTGCGAGGTTGGGCTGCGGTCGGAGGTTGGTGCTTGGGGCTGACCTGGCTGGCGGAAGCTGGATCGTCAAAGGTGAAGCTGGAGCTGGGCAGATCGAGGTCGAGGAAAGGCGCGGCGCTTGCGGACGAAGAAGCCGGAATGGCGGGATGGTGTCGTGGTGCGGCTGTACGAGGGGAGGCTTTTGCTCTCTCTGCGTCGCGTTCGATCATGGCCCGCTTGTACGACTCGGCCAGGGTGAGTGGTTTGGAAGTGATGGAATGGTCGGAGCTTGCATCGGCGAACACAGAGGATGGTGTGACTTGGTGCCGAGGCTGATCGCTGGCAGTGGCGGCTGGCTTTGATGCTGTATTGGAAGAAGTTCTGTCTGGCACTGCGACGTGTGTGGCCTGGGTGGAGGATGAAGCTGCGGCAGCGTCCGAGGGTGTGGACACTGGCTCGTGCCGCCTTTCTGGCGTCGAGTTGGCTGAATCTTGGCTGTGGGAGGGGCGCATTTGGCGTGCTGCTGGAGACGATGCGCGGTCTGCGAGGGATGGAGCCGCGAGATTGTTTTCGGATGTGGAGCGAGACTTGGCTGCGGGGAGGATGCGCTGGCTCGAGAGGCGCTGCAGAGCGGCCTGCTGAACGAGTTCTGCGGGTGTACTGGACGGAGGTGGCGAAATTGATGAAGCATTGACGGTGTGGTGTGCCGGCTTGTTAGGGAGGACTGCCAGGGAGGATGACCGATTCATGCTAGGCGCGGTGGAGCCAGCAGCTGGAGCGAGGGAGGCGTGGTCGGAGTGCGAGCGAGAAAGTGTGTGGCCGTTGGTGAGAGGCTGCTGCTGCTGGTGGTGGTGGTGCTGGGATTGCGCTTCGGATGAATGCGGAGACGACAAAGTGGCAGACCATTTTGGATCGTCCGAGACGGCGAGGCGGCGGCGCTGGGAAGCAGTTGCGATGGAGAGTTTCTGACGAGCGCCTGTAGCGCCGATGGGCACCAAAAAGTTGCGCGAGGTGGTGGAGTTGGAGGTGGAGGTGGACGTGGAGCCGAGCGAGCCGGCGCTGCTGCTGGTGGGGAGGCGGGCTGGAGGATTGGAAGGGGTGGTGGAGTCGGATTGCGTTTGCGGTGCCCAAGTGGGGATGGAGGGGAAGGAGCCGAACTCGCTCATGGAGCGGCCATGTCGGCTTGCGTCTGGAAAGTGGAGGCCGTCATTGGAGACGGAGCGAGGGGTTTGTGAGGAGCCGGGCTGATGCTTGGAGAAGCGGAGACGTTCGTTGAGAGATTTGGCTGGCGGCTTGCCCGTGCCGATGCCGAGCGAGGCGGGGAGGTGGGAGCCGGACGCCTGCGGGGTGGCCAAGTGTGCAAACGAGGGGGTACGTGCCGAGTCGGACGGGCGTGCCATTTGGGCAGGCTGATGCAGCTGTGGGCGTTCCATGACGGCGCTGCTGGGAGCAGCAGAGGCTCGAGAGTGCGGACGAGGAGCAAAGCCGCGGTGAAGCGGAGTTGGGCGGCGGCGACGAGGTGCCGAGTCAAGAGACAAGAGCTGGCAGGCGTTCTAGGATCGCATCGGGCAGAGAGTAGGTGGTGGTGAGGGTGAAAAGCACAAGCAGCAGCAGCAGCAGCAGCAGCAGCAGCAGCTCGGCGTCGCCTCGAAATCGCGCCCGGCGATGGCAACCAGAAGGGGNCAGCAGCAGCAGCAGCAGCAGCAGCAGCAGCTCGGCGTCGCCTCGAAATCGCGCCCGGCGATGGCAACCAGAAGGGGTGGGGTGGTGGTGGTGGGCCAGGATGCAGGTGCGGATGCAGATGCAGGCCTAGTGCAGGGCGCTTTGGCCGATGATTGCGTTGCGAGGTTGGAAGGGAAGGTGAGGGGGGGAGTGAGGGGCGGGGGTGATGGATGACGATGGAAGGGACGAGAGGTGGAGATGGCGAAAATGCGCCGAGCCGGAAGGGGAGAGAGAGGGTGTGGGTGTGGGTGGGTGTGTGAATTGTGAATGGTGCGAAAGCGGAGCGCCGGTCGAAATGCGTTCGGGGTGGTGGTGGGTTGGGTGGTGGCCCCAGCCCCAGCCGAAAGCCTCAGCTTTAGCCCCAGCCGAACGCTCCCACTCGCACTATCACCCGACGAGAACGCGGCGAACCGCATACGCGCACTTTCCACTCGAGTCGAGCCACGAGCCGAGCAGGATTGGGGCGAAATGCGAGTGAGTGGAAATTTCGAGCGAGAGCCGCGCGCGGTCGCGAAACCGCGAAGGGCGACGTTCGAGTCGCCGTGAGCTCGGAGCCTGAAATTCGAGCCTTTTTGGCTTTTCCGGACGATTTCGAAGAATAGGAAGAAGAGGGAGGGAGCCCAAGCCAAGTAAAGCAAAGCAAAGCAAGGCAAGGCAAGGCAAAGCAAGGCAGCTCATGCTTCGTTCGCTGTTGGCAGCTCGGTCGGGGCGAGCCGCTGCGTGACAAGCTGCACGCCTGAAACACGGCTCGCCAAAAAGTAGGAGGCGCAAGCGCTGCGCAGCTGGAGCCGGAGTTGGCTCGGACCTGCATTGATACGGCTGCGAGCCTGCGAACCTGCGAGCCTGCTCGACGATAACCTCGGCGCTGGTAAGGTTGCAGCGCGCCAACGCACCGATAGCCTCTTCGGACGTCGGTCGCAGGCACAGCTGCGTGCGCAGAGAGTTGATTGCCTTGCCTCTCTCGGATCCACGTCGAAGCGGTGGTGTTCGAGGCGCGATTGGGCGCGCCCACTAGCAGCTCGCCGAGACATGGCCCGCGACGAGGCATGGCTGCAAGCAAACAAACAATTCCAGACCGCCCAAATGGACACTGTATGCAGAAGTCGCATCTGTCGCGTTGAATCGAGCCAAACGCAGGATCGACTGCACCGCAACTGGCTTGCCCAGGCGTGATTTTTTTGGGAGTTCTCATCTGTCAGCTGTCTGCCAAGCCAAGCCGAGCTGCGAATCTCGCTTAAGGCTCCATGCCCAAACACTGGGCCGAATCGCAATACATCATGGCCGCTCCAAAGTCATGCACCGTGATGCCTGCATTTCAGCCACCTCGCCCCCCCCCCC